CAACACCCTCTTGGTTGGTCCTCGCAAGGATCTTTTCTCACTGGCAAAAAACGTCCAAGCGGAGTTGCCTGGAGCGAGGGCGAACAGCCACACGCTACCAATGACACTTTGTCCTTGCATACAAACATCGGCTGACAGGAGTTCCAGACCAAGTTCGATTTTGATTACCGGCCCGACGTGGGGGAGCATGAGGAGGGGACCGGGGTTTGGTCCAAGGCAACTTTGTGTGGCGGGAATACACCAGGAAGACCAGAAAAAAAAAAAAGAACAACCCCAATCATTCCCCGCGCGAGTGAAAGGGAACCCTGAGCCAAGATGGATGGGCCAAGAGCAACGCAAAGCAAAGCAACACCGCATCGCTATTTTTGCGCGTCATCCCCTATTGCGCGCCCACTGCCACAAAGCCTCCGACAAACTAGAGTTTCCGGAAGATTGTCTTCTGGAGTAAACACTCTCTTGGCCCTCCCACCAAACATACCAACCCCGCTTCACCTGGGCCCCCTTTCTTCGACCATCGCCCATTCACGCCTCCATCTCGAATTTGCATCGGGCATCGGAGCAAGCACGCAGTCGCGTTCACCCTCCCGCCGCAGGGTCCTCAAGCAGCGGGCGGACTACACGCTGCGCGGGCTGTGTTACGCGGCAGCCTTACCTGTGTGCATCTTGGCGGGATGGAAGGGAGGAAAAAAGGACTTGTTGCTGTGTCACACGAAAGAAAGGCAGCGGGAAGTGACCAGTCACACAAAGGCTGTTGGTCACTTTTCGCTTGGCTTTTGTCATCAGATCATGTACGCGGGTTCAGCATTGCCAGGCGAGAATGCAAACCAAACCAAACAAATCATAAATCACAAAAAAACACAGAAGAAACTTTCACACACACACAAAGAATAAGGTCATCAGACCGCCGCTTCCTCATCCGTTGTTTCCGTGCGCCCCTCTCTCTGTAAACCTTTGGACAGAACAATGTGAAGCCATCACCACCATCAGAAAAGACCCATGAACCATGACAAACAAAACCATTAATAACCACAAGCCCACCCTATTGTCCTATCCCATTTAATCCCCGTTTCGCCCAACTGGAATCCCAGATGGGCCGATTCCCACCCCCGAACGGTTGCTAAAACTGAAACAGGGGAAATTTTTACATTGCGCGGTCCCGAGGATCCGGGTTTGTCCTTTCTTTTCTACGCAGCGGGCGAGTGAAGTACATACTTCGTACAGCGCGAGCGTAAGGGACGACGGATAACCGTTAAGCGGCGCCCCAATCATCAATGAATCCCTCGCGCGGGAACAGGCAGCCAGCGAACGGACCACGGCACGGACCCCTGGTGCTGGGTTGATTGCGTGTAATTCCCATCTACATGGATCCATGGACGGCAGCAGGCGAGAGTAACCCCCCTCCCCCCCAGTTGCTGACACTAAACCCGGCGTTCCGCGTTCCGGATATCCCGCGGCAAATCCAATCCCCGTGTCCCGTGCTTTCCAGGCCTCAAGCGAAGTCCCGGCGTCGGCGATATTGGTTCTGCCGTTCGTTCCTGAGTTGGCGAGGTTAATCGGCGCGGGGCCCGAGGATCTCGGACTAGCCCCATTATCGCTCCGAGAATCAGACGGCGATGCATAAAGATGTAAGCCGAGAAGACGCCCATCTGTGGGCGAGTGACGAGTCTTGAGCCATCACCTGAGTCTTCCAGAAGGATGGTCTACGGGTGAGAGCAGGTGGGAGAGGGCGGCGGCCTTTAAGTCCATGTCGCCACAACATGCCCGCTACGGCCGACAACGCCCCCAACCGTTCATGCCCTCGCCAGCTGGAAAACTGCTCCAAGGAGAGGGGCTCGCAAGCTTACACCCTCACTGCTCGAAACGCGAACTCACTGAGCTGAGGTGCTCTGTCAGAATGCCATCGGCTTACATCCCCCCACCCCCGAATCCGGCCTAGCCTCACGTCACGTCTGCCCGTTTTCTTTCACCTGCCTCGTCGGTTCCGCGGATATGCTTATGATGCGCTCCCTCGGCATTTGGCGCAGACGCGAGGCTAGTGAGGCGGGCTTGTTTTTGGGTAGCGGCTCGGGAGCCGGGTGACTCAGGGTAGCGCGTGTCCAGCGATGCAGCAGGCTTACAGGTTGCTTTCCGAAAGGGGTTTAGACGGGGTCAGGCTTGACGTCGCGGAGGTGGCCGATGCAGACGGCTTACACTGGTGATGGCTTCATCCGTCGAGAAAATAGGGGGCTTGTGTCTTGCTGATGGACCCGTTAGGCTGCCGCGTTGCGACAACAGCAAGGCTTGTGGAATTGAAGGGGAGATGGGCGGATGAACAACATTGCCGGCGGAGGAACTCAATCCTCTTGTGCGCAAAGATGCCATAATGTGTTTGGAAAATTGAACATGCGAGGCGACCGGTCTTGAGTGTTTCTCGACGACGAAGTTTTCCTGGTATAAATGACTGAGTGCCTAGCTGCTTCAACGCTGAGTGCCAGACATCTCTGCGCCTTCAATCTGATCATTGATCTAGAACACCAAGTCCTCGTGGGCAGTTGACACAAAACTTTCGCCAATTTTCCAACCAAACAGAGCTCTTAGTATCCGAAATCTTCACGTACCGGATTCGTGTGAGACTTGACATCGTCTTAAGATATCAGCACACGGACTTCGGTGTGTTGCGGTAAGCACCGGACGAAGTTGACATCACTTCAAGTAAATCGACACATACATCATCAAACTCCAGGTTTCACGTACGTCGGCATCTCCTGTTGAGTAACAAGACTCTTCATCGCCAGTCTTGGAAGAACATACTACTTCATACACATTGAAAGCTGAACTTGAGGACGCGCGACTTGCATCGTCAGCCATACGCCCCTTTCTTCGTTTTCAGTAACGTCCACGACCCATCAAAAATGAAAGCCCTCTTTGTTCATGAGAAGGATCTTCACGATCCAACTCCGTCGATAGCATCTCTCGAAGGGAAGGTCATCTTCGTCACCGGAGGTAAGTCCCAGCACGTAGCCTCTCGCCTCTCATACGTCTTTCCGCACTCAACATCGACTCTCATCCTTTTGTTGTATTGAACTGTTTTACTGCTCCTCCACCACCTTCATTTCTGTTAGTGAAATTCGACTTTCAACATCCATGCTCCCAAGTTGGGTGTCTTTTCAGCCAACTTGAGAGGGATTGAGTTTGCAACATCGCCTCGCCTAAGGGGCGAAGCCGTCCTTTTGCTCCATTTCGTAGGGGCTCGGGATCAACTCGATTTTGGCCAACCACTAAAGATAGTGTTATGGTGACACATCCTCATCTCATACACACCAGAGCAGAATGCTTGTCATCAAGTCACAAAGTGTCTTCTTAGTGGACGACAGGTTCGAGAGATCCCGCTTACGTTTCTTATACGTATCAGCATATCACCCTTCAATCCCACTGGTATTCCTTATTGTTCACCTATTCCTCTAGAGTGAAGCGACGTTACTTCTTCCTTACCTCTTCGCAAGACTAACACACAATCTAGGAACAGCGGGCCTAGGCAAATCCACAATCACCGCCCTCCTCAGCCATAACCCCGCCCATATCTACTTCTCTGGCCGGTCCCAATCCTCCGCAGATTCACTGATCTCCTCTCTTCCCGCGTCTATTCCCTCTCCACCTCCCCTGACCTTTGTTAAGATGGACCTTTCCTCACTCTCCACGATCCCTACCGTCATTGCCAAACACTTCAACCACACCCGCCTTGACATCCTCCTCAACAACGCCGGCATTATGGCTACCGGACCCTCCCTCTCCGCCGATGGCTTCGAGATCCAGTTCGCCACAAACCATCTGGGCCACGCCATGCTCGTCCGCACCCTCATGCCGGTCCTCGAGCGTACAGCAGCCTCCGGTGCCGATGTTCGCATCGTTAACCTCACTTCCGTGGGGTACCAGGGCCACCCCCGGGACGGCATCTCCTTTGCCTCGCTTCGTACTACGCAAACCGGTCTCCCCATGCTAGGGGAGTGGATCCGGTACGGGTAAACACTTTTCTACTTCCGGCATTCTTCCAAAAAGATCATCCTATACTAAAATTCACATTACAGCCAAAGCAAACTCGCAAACATCCTCTTCACCCGCGAACTCGCCCGCCATCACCCCTCCATAACCACCGTCGCGGTACACCCAGGCGTCGTTGACACAGGCCTCGTAACGAACCAGAATCTCAAGAATCGCATCCTTGTCTATCTGCCCAACAAGCTCATGGGCGCTACGGTGCTCACCCCCGAACAGGGCTCCTGGAACCAGGTCTGGGCCGCGGCCGCGGCGCGAAAGGAGGACCTCGTCAATGGAGGATTCTACATGCCCGTCGGACACCTGGCTAACGACAAACTTGATTCCTGCGCGACGAACGAGAAGTTGGCGGGAGAGCTGTGGCGGTGGACTGAAGATGTGTTGGCTGGGTTTGACTGAAGCTCGAGTAATGAGAAGGCTCAAATCATGGTTCATCTCTGGAGTCTGATAGTACGACTAAACAAATGAGAGTAGAGTTTAGGTCTTCTCAATGCCCAAAGTCATGTCGAAAGTTCATTAATCAATGACGCATTGTTGGTACATGTATATACACAGACAAGTGCAATTTTATCCAATCAAGCTCCCTTACGCATTCAAGAATCAGAAAAAAGATATCAGTACCTTTGCAGTATGGAGATATCAATTCCTAGTTGCACTTACCGTTAACGGAGATGGATTGCTCGCAATCTGAACCATTCATAGCTCCCCCAGCTTGTCTTAACAACATCTCTCAGAAGGGAAACTGTTGCTCAGTTCAAATAACTTCGACGATAGTGAGCACAAGTATGAGAGGGGTCAATGACGTAGCCTCCAGAATGCACAGGGAATTTATGCAAGCTTGGTGCACGCCGACTGCTCTTGACGACGTCAGCGTAAGCCGATCACACCCACCACCGCTGCGACCAGTGAGTCACAACGTAGACTCCGTCCGCATCTGTCATAATGGTAGGATCGCTCGCCGTACAACGAGCACGGTGGCGCAGTGGTTAACGCAGTGGACTTGAAATCCACAGATCCCTGGATCAAAACCAGGCCTTGCTCATCCACTTCCTTTTTGCTGCGATTGGCGGTGTCGACAGTCGACATCGCCTTACACGCCTCACGATGCCGAGATCCTCATTTTTGGACGGGAAGCCAATAACGATTTCGCCGACCTGCGGGCCTCAGATTGCCAAGGGTGTTGATGACGGGTCATAGATGATGCCGGCGACTTTGGTCTCGTCCTAGCGACTTGCATGTGAGTCGCTCCGCGATATGGGATCATTGATTTTGGCCTGCTTCCGATATTCACCACGTTGGTATCAAGCCGAAGGGCATTATCGGCTTACGTGTCTATGTAGCATTTTACTGGGGCGCTTGTTTAAACATCGCCGGGCTTTTATAATTCTAAGTGCTGTGTTTATACATGGCGGAATGGTAGGCTATCCACCAACTCTCAAAGTGTGATGCTTAACATAGGTCAAATCCGCGTCGCCTGCGTGTCTTACATATCTAGCAAAGAGGCCAAAGTGTAGGTGTGCAGTGGGTGGGCGATCTTGACTTTTCCAACTATTGGATAAGGTCTTCTCTTTTTATAACCAGTTCCAACTCCATCAAAAAGCCCTTCTAGCACATAAATCCGAACGACTGTCCCTGGAGAGACACTGGCGTTACCGGTGGGATGCTGCGAACGAAATGGCGGAGCCAAAATAAGTTATCTTCCTGCCGGGATTCATCTAATCAGATGCCATCTGATAAAGAGCTCGCAACAGAAGGTCGTCGCTTAAGTGGGTACTTGAATGATTATTCTATGCTCTTCAGTTTACTGAAGAGAAGAATACCCTAGCTAACACGCCTTGAAAAGGCCAAGGCGGATCGGAATGGGTCTGGTCTCGGAAACCAAGTTCCGATGAAATGACTGATTGATGGAAGATTTTACGAATCCTGAAAGGGTGCCACATTGAGACGGTTTGCTCATATGACAATGCGTTCGTAAATACGAGCACATGCTATCGTCAGAAGATTGAATCAGGTACAGATAGCTTGCAAGATAGCATGGCTTCAATAAACACAACAAGAGGACTGGATGTACTCTGGCATTGACGCATGGAATTCATCTATAAAACAGCTCACAACTCCCTTCCATCACGAATGCCACAAATCGCACCCTCTCAAGCATCGCTCGCAGCAAAAGTTTTCAAGATGCAGATCACCGCCCTCCTCCCCCTTCTCGCCCTCGCTCCCAGCGCAATGGCCAGCCCCATCGCCGAGCAAGCCACAGCTCTCGTACGTCCATCTCACACCTTTCTCCGTCATGCTTCCTTCTCCTTCCCTTCCCCCTAAAATCATGACGGCACCATCCAAAGACTCAAAACTCGCGACTAACCTACTCACGTACCCACAGGATACCCGCGCCGGCTGCCCTGCCCAGGTCACCAGCTTCTGCAAACAATTCCGCGAGGTCCTCGGGCAGTGCCGCAGCGGCCGGTGGAACTGCGTCCACGGCAACCCGCTCACGCTGGACGGCAACTACCCCATCTACACGCCTGCCGGTGTTTCGTGCTCGAAGGAGGGAGACACGTGCTTGTGAGCGGTGTAAGCGCGCCCGTTGGTGGTACTTGATGAACGTGATGTTGACTAACACGTGAAAATAGCTGACGAACGTGAACCGAGAAACCACCTTCGACCGAGCACACAGCTGCCATCTGGAATTGACGGACGGCGTGTTTAAAGGTTAAATGTAGACAGAACCAGTCTCGTAATATTACTCCCTGCAGCCATAGTCTTGCATGATGTTCACGTGCCTTGCCGCTTAGCCAGTCTTGTCAAAACCGGACGCTTCTCAGAAACTGAGATATTCTTTACGAAGCTCAATATACAGGACATCGAGCCCATAATCAACAGCTCAGACCGAAGCTGGGGTGCTCCGCCCAAGAAGGACGCAACAATGTCAAGAAACCACAAAACAAGAAACGCTCGGAGAAGTTGGCCAAATATCTTCAGATCAGTTAGAACACTATCTCCGTCGGTGCGGATTAGCCTTTCCTGTCCAATGGTAGGAGTCTCCAGTAGTACAAGCTCTCAAACCTCCGAGTCTGCGTCAATGATCAAGTGGCCTGCAGAGCTCTCGTCACCCTCCCCAACCCGTCTAAACGTCAAGAGGGAACTAGACCACGTTTATCGGGGGAGAAGCAGTTTCTGGTGGACCTGATCTATTCTCACTGCTCGAGGAATGGTACGTGACGAGTTGAGCAGAATGATGAGAAATTTGAGCCCAGAAAGGGATCGCCTTGGTCGAAGCGGACGTCGTGAGAGAACACCACACCATCTCCACCATGCGCAACACACTGAGAGAAAGGTACCATTCGTGTACATCTGTGCTGGATAGCTACTCCTCGGACGACTCTTCCCACAACGGATCCGGGGACGGGTATCCGACCAAGCACATTGAAAATCAGATATCGGAGTCATTGGCCGTGGCTGGAGAGTGACCACGCAGGTGGTCGTATAAATCCCTTGCGTTTCAAACCGTCTTGATGGTAATGCTCTTACTCGAACCTCTTTGACATCCAAGTCTCATTGGAGATAACTCCCTTGAATACGATACTTCAACCGCAGAGGCGATCTCGAAGACCTTACATGCACGGAGGATGGGCTTGTTTTAATCATATCACCGTGACGGGGCCTGGGATGGCTGGAGCCGACCTGAGTCTCCTGGCTCTCCCAAATCACAGTCAGTTGGTGGATGGACGGTAGAGCATTCACCGGTTCGGCGCAAATGTGGCAGGGAATATATTCCGTTGAGGTAGAAGAAGTCACAGGTAAGAAGACAAGCAGTGAAACACCAGGTGGGAAAGATAGCTTGTCGAATGGTTCTAAAGGGAATTGAAACGGTCATTGGCAACTATATTTGCTTGTAAAATTGGTTGCTTATCATAGCGGTAGAACGAGGCTATCGGTTAAACGATCTCGGCAATCGCACATCTACGTCACCGGATGTGCCTTGAGAACCCAACACGACGCAAAGGCCGACAGAGTTGACACCTCGACTAAGTGCACCGTGGTTTAGTAAACCACTTGAAATCTTGACATGTGTCACCGTGGCTTGACACCTGGGGAGGTGCCATGGCGTGCCCTGGTGGTTATTAATCAGCCGGGCCGACGTCCCATCAAGCGCTGGTCTGAAGTCGGAAAGCCGCCGACTGATATTGGGCCGTCAACGGACATATACCCGTTTCCTACCGTCTCATCTCAACTCTTTCAAGCGTCGCACCGGACCTCGAGGCCGGGTACGAAATGGCACTCGACCACCCCAAGGTCTCACCGGCGCGCTCGATTCCACTGTCACCTCGCACCATCGCGTCGCCGACGCGCCGCCACAATCAGCAGGTCCCCTCATCTGCGCCAGCCGCCACTAGAGACAGAGAGATATCAGTGATGGCGGAAAGTCCCATCGCCGCGTTTAATTTCCCATGCGACTTTTTGACATTCGCCTCGCAGACGCCTGCCCGGGCTATCCCAAAGAGAGACCTTATCGCCCGGCCTTCCGCAGGTCGCATCTCTGCCGACGTCACGTCAAGAGCACACCACCAGCGTGCGCGCCCCTCTCGAATGGCAATCTCTCCCAGTCGCCAGGGTCGGCCTGTGGCGGACGTTAACGCACCCCGCCAAACACCATCGCCGCACACCCGGTCCGCGCCTTCAGAACCGCGTCCATCTTGACGTCCCAGGAAATTTGTAAACAAAACAAGGCGGGTCGGCATTGGACGTCGTCGTGAACGCGTGGGTGCGCGCAATTCTTCAGTTCAATCTATCGCCCGTGTGCTGTAGCGAGCGCCAAGCGGCACACTGCAGACGATATGAAGCTCCTGCGGTGCACTCGCACAGCGTATGCCGTGACCACGCCCTGCAGCGAACATGTTTGAGAGCAGTGACATCAGCACGAAGGGTTCGAATGGCATTGTTCAAGACGGGGCCGCTTCTATGCGACCACTGTTCGGCCAGTGGCAATGAGCCGATCCTCTGACCAGGGAGTCGAGTTCCAGCCCGAATCCGCCGCTTCGGGTTGCATTCCTCGAGGCAGGGGAACAACAAGCACGGTCGGCGACACGTGGGGAATGAGATTCTCGTCGCCCTGCTCCCAGTGTTTTCCAAGATTTTTGAAAATCTAATCGAGGTCCAGAACTTTTGTGCGAAAACTCTTCTACGACGTCAGGTCCCCATTTGCCCTCATCATCGATCAGAGTTTCCGCGAGCCCTGGCTTCTGGCCCGCCCTGTTGGAGATCGAGGGGCGGCCCAACCGGAAGGAGGGCTGCAAATCGCGGAGATTGCGGGCGGTCCAGCGCGGCGCGGAAGCGAAATAATGTCGTCGTGTTAGCGCCGACAAGGGGCTTTTAATGTGACAATGCCCTCAAGCCAGCTGCAAAGCGAGAGGCAATCAATCAAGGAAGGCGTGAGGCCACAGTCTGCCTGCAGTGCCCGACTGCCTAGCGGAGTCATGAACATCGTGACTCGTTGGGAATCGCCATGCGTAAAGTCCATCTTTGTGGGGGTCTTCCTGCGCCTTCAATGTTTTGTCCATATTATTTGTGTCCTAGATTTAACGTAGAGAGCTTCGCATGACGATTGATGAGTTGTTCATGATCTGCTAGGGCCAGATGTAGTACGTAACGGCAGTTGTCTTTGGCAGCACCTCGTTGCAACGGAATGGCAGCTCCATCTCGCGGCAAGAAATGCCTAGTTGCATTATTCTTCGGAGTCTTTTAACCTGCGATCTTCGTCAGCTTGTTAACTCCCGACGACGACTCCGGACGCTCGGCATATTGTGCCTGTCTTGATTCGATGAGTCCATCGTCAACAGGTCATCTCTCCACTCAGTCAGAGGCCCTCGTCTTCCCCAAGCGATCAGCCCCGGGACAGCCTTGCCGGCAACGTGTCGTGGTGTGGACCGTGGAGACACGTTCTAGTGCGGGAAAAAAGCTTTGGACCGCCAAAACAACTGCAAAATCTTAAAGACTGGGAACGGCCCGGCTTGTGCAGAGGCGAGCGTCATCATCAGACG